AGGAGGTGATGGGCATGAGTTGGTGGAAAGGTGTACCTTTTCAAACAAATGCACAAAGGGAGACAATGCAAGATATAACTCAAGCCAGGACAGGTGCTCGACCCACCCTGTCATTTCCCTGTCTCAGCAGCTCTGCACGATCTGCCACCACACCTGTTTCAGTTACAAGAGAGCTCCTTGTGATCTAGTGCCCATCAGGCCCTCTCTTCTATCAAATTCACCACTCAAGCAGCACTTACCAAGTGACTCCAGACAGGAGGAAGAGGCATAGATATGAAATATTTGCCAAGCACTGTGAACAATTATGTCCTGGTCTCTTCAGTTTGCACCTCAGGTAGTAGTAATACATGATCTTTTCTATATCTTCTCCATGGCAGAGGGAAAACAAATGTATGTTGGAGCAGAGCAGGGGTGGGAAACCTTTTTTCTGCCAAGGGCCATTTGGATACTTAAAACGTCACTTCTGAGCCATACGAAATTATCAACTTGAAAATTAGCCTGCTATGTTTGGTCAAACATTTAATTAACTTACCCCTAAGGCCTTGGCAGGGCCAGACCAAATGATTTTGCAGACCTTATAGGGATGTTTCCCATCATGAAGCAGAGGGAAGCAAGAATATGTAGAACCAAGATGGTTATGTTACCATGATCAGATCACTTTGAAGGCTCATGTGCTGCCACCTCTGAAAAATCCTGGGTTGTATGGAAATCCTTCCTGACATAAGGAAAGCCCGGTCACCACAGAGCAGCATATGCTAAGAAACACTGCAAATGGCACTGTACACACAAGTTGAATTTACAGACCCTACCCCTAGGAGCTTGCTAACAGAAAAATTGGGGCTTGGACGAGCAGAATATATATAAGATACATTTTTGATGCACTTATTAAAAAGCAGTCAAGTGTAGAAAAGGAACCCTTGTGCACTGCTGGTGGGAATGCAGACTGGTGCAGCCACTGTGGAAAACAGTATGGAGTTTCCTCAAAAAATTAAAAATGAAACTCATATCTGACCCAGTAATCCCACTTCTAGGAATATATCCCAAGAAATCAGAAACACCAGTCACAAAGGATATATTCACCCCTATGTTCATAGCAGCACAATTTACAATAGCTAAGATTTGGAAACAGCTTATCAGCAGATGAGTGGATTAAAAAACTCTGGTACATCTATACAATGGAATACTACACTGCTGTAAAAAAAAAGAAGGAACTCTTACCATTTGCAATGGCATGGATGGACCTGCAGAGCATTATGCTAAACGAAATAAGCCAATCAGAGAAAGATAAATATCACATGATCTCACTCATTTGTGGAATATAATGGACAACATAAACTGATGAACAAAAATAGAGTCAGAGATACTAGTCGAAGCACTGAATAGACCGTCCAAGCTAAGAGGGAAGGTGGTTGGTGGGGGAGGAGGGACACATCAACCAAAGGACTTGTATGCATGCATATGAGCATAAATAATGGACACAGACAGTAAGGAGGTGAAGGCATGTGCTGGGGGGTGGTGGGAGTGGCCAGGGAGAGATCAATGGCGGGATTGGGGAGAGAAGGAGACTTATTGTAACACTTTAAACAATAAAAAACTGTCAGTCTCATATTACCAGTAATAATAATAATAATAAAAGTAGTCAAGCCCTAGCTGGTTTGGCTCAGTGTATAGAGTGTCGGCCTGTGGACTGAAGGTCCCGGGTTTGATACCCGTCAAGGGCACATGCCCAGGTTGCGGGCTCGATCCCCTGTGGGGGCATGCAGGAGGCAGTCAATCAATGATTCTCATCAATGATGTTTCTATCTCTCTCCCTCTTCCTTCCTCTCTGAAATCAATAAAAAAATATTTTTAATTAAAATTTTAAAAAGTAGTCAAATCTACAAGTGCAATGTCATTCAATTTCTGATCGGATTCGCTCTAACAACACTTACTGAATGTCTACTAGGTGGAAAGGAAAGGTAGAGAGGAGGAGAGGGGTTTCCCAGGAAATAGTGTAAAATTCTGACTGGTTGTGACTTAGCCCGGTGAAAGATGAATCAAAAAAAAGGTGGATTTTAAGAGACCTGTATGCCTTGTTAGGGAGTTTGAACTTTATCATATACACAATGGAAAAATCAAAGAACATTTTAAGTGATATGGTCCCAGTTCTCCCTCCTAGCTGTGTGTCTTTGGGCAAGTCACTAAATCTCTTAATATTAGTGTCTTCATTTACAAAGTGAGGATAATAGTGGTACCTATCTCACAGGGTTGATTTGAGGAGTAAATGAGCTAATGTGTATGTAAAGCAATCAGCACAGCATCTGGTACATAATAAGAGCTCCATACATTTTAGCTTTTATTACCAGGAAAGTTTCTTAGAAAGATAACTTCATTGGCAGCACCAAACATATACTCTAATGATGATGTCAAAAGATCCTATTAAGATAACATTGCAATTTAATTCAGTGATAAGGTCTTGAAAGGCGATTTGGATGCGGGAAGGTAGGAAGGTGAAAAGGTGAGGGGTAAGTTTAGCTTGAGAGACTGGGTAGATCAGGATAACTGTCCAAGTAGACTATATGGGGCATTATCCAAGGCATCCCTTGAGATAAATTTTAACCGTGCATGTGTTCAGACATTAAGTAGTTGCTAGTGAAGAGACTACTCTAAGCAAGCAGGACCAAGGGTAGGCATTATTACTTGACCTTATATTAATACTAGAGGCATTTGCATGAAAATTCATGCAATGGAGGAGGGGGGTCCCTCAGCTTGATCTGCCCCCTCTCACAGTCTGGGAGCCCTCAGGGGCTGGAGGCAACTTGGCAATCAGGGGAAGATGGCACCCCCATCATACCTCTGCTGCTGCCACTGCCGACAGCACAAGTCTTAGCCTGCCCTGGTTACCTGAGCCTCGGGCAGCCCTGAGCAGCTGGGCAGCCACCATCTGAGGCTTGCCTGTGCCTCAGGCCGGCCCAGGAAGCTGGGGGGGGAGGTGTGAGGGGACTGGGTGCCACCATCTTGTGGATGTGGGTGCTGCCATCTTTGAGGGTGGGACAGCAATTAGCATATTCCCTCCTTATTGGCTGTGGGCACCGCCATCTTTGTGACAGCAAGAAGGTCAATTAGCATATTCCCTCTTTATTAGATATATGCAGTTGCAAATCACAAAGCATTTTATTACTCACACAAATTCCTGGTGCTGTGGGTACAGGCCTAACGGGTGTCCCCAAAGCATAGCTTCCTCTGAAGGTAGCTGTGGCACCATCTGATGGCTGGCAAAAACCAGGTTGGCTTTTACCACCAGAGACCTCCTCGACTCTTAAATCGTGGCTAGATCAAGGATATTAGCCATCGTTTGGCATGGAGCAGGAGGCAGAGCAAGTGCAGACTGTCAGTCGATTCATCGTCTCTGGTTTGGGTCCCCATTATATAGCCAGGTTGTTTACCCACGGCAGTCCAGGTGCTTATCAATTAGGGTGCAAAACAAGTTTCTATCAACGTGTCACAGGCATAAACTTAAAACATGCTTTCGACCAAACTAAGTTCAAACCAAGTCCTTATCTATGGGGTACACTCTTCTAAGTTACTTCATAATGTTTTTCCAGAAATGTTCAAAACATCACACATGTGTTTATCACACTAAGTTTCACTCAAATATTTTTCTGCTGTGACGATAACCATTAACCAGATTTAGAGATAAGGGTAGCCGGGGTATAAGAGTGTAGGTGCAGAAACAGATAAATGAGTTCAGTTTGGGACCTGTTGGATGAGAAGTGAAGCTGCCAAAAATGGGAACCTGGAGGATATCAACATTAACGGGGAGGCCAGAAGAGCCAATGGAGAAAACTGGTCAGAGACCATAATATCAGTATGAAGGGGGATTAGGAGGGATAAGGGAGACATTATCATCAGCTAACCTTTTGGTTACGTTACATAAGCCCGTCACCCAATTCCCCAACAGGCGTTAACATCTGCTTCCTAGACCGTTCTTAGCTTCTTGCTTCTCAGTTTTCTGCCTCTTAGCATTTTTTCCTTTTGCCCTTTCTTAACTGAAAGAAGGAAAAGTCTAGAATCTCTCAACACGGCCACCTAGGTGACCCCGAATCACAAGGAAAGGGCTGGAAAGAGGGTAAAAAAAATTTTTTTTTTCTAGAAAAGAGTCTGCAACCACCTTCCATAAGGTCCCACTTCCAGATATCCTGCCACGCCGCTCTACTGCCACTCTTATCGGCTCTTGGACGCGAGGCACGATGGGAAATGCAGTCCTCAAGTCCGTGCAGGGTGGCACGACTGAAGAACTCGGTTTCCCAACTGGCTCTTTAGGTGCATGCGCAGATGGCTGCTCCGGCGAATGGTAAACAGAGACGTCAGGCTGGGGCTGCAGCTCGGAGCAAAACAAAAGGGAAACCCGGGGGGTGGGGGGGTGGGAGGGTTGGTAAGGGAATTGGTTCTGGAATAAGAGAGGCTGGGGCCGACGGGGACGTAGACTGTCTTAAGAGTGGAAGGAAGGGAAGAGAGAGTGGAGGGAGAGTCCGGGGAGGGGCAAGTGACGCGGGAGCGGGGCGGGGGGAGGCAGTGATCAGGGTGGAGAAAATTTGGGAGGAGTGTGTGCGTGTGGAGGGGGGGGAGGTGGGCAGCAACTTAAAAGGGGGTGGGAACTGCAGCTAAAGAGACGTTCGCTGATGGGAGCGCAACGTGTGAGGGGCTACGGAGCCTCAGGTTTAAAAGACCAGGAAGCTGAGAGAGACTTGAGAAAAAGTGTTCGCTAGGCGGAGAGTACAGGTGGTGTCTCGGAAAGAGCCCCGAGACTGCAGGCTGTAGTCGTGAAGAGAATCAGAGTTGTGTGGAAGGGACAGCCTGGGGAGCTAGGGTCCGGGGGCGAGCGGGGGGAGTTCGAGACTTTACGAGGACTGGCAGGAATGTGCCTCCTGGCCCTGGGTGCTCCCCCCCTGGGGGGAGGCATCGTGAGGGACTGTGGCAGGCTGCTCTGAACGCTGAGCGACAGAGGTCCAGCTCCACGTATGGATCCAGAGAATGAGAATTCAGCCACAGAGGCTGCCGCGATCATAGACCTCGATCCCGACTTCGAACCCCAGAGCCGTCCCCGCTCCTGCACCTGGCCCCTTCCCCGACCAGAGCTTGCTACTCAGCCGTCCGAGCCGCCCGAGGTGGATCCAGGTCTGGGAGAGAAGGTACACACGGAGGGGCCAACAGAGCCAATCCTGTTGCCCCCCCGGCTCCCAGAGCCGGCAGGGGGCCCCCAGCCCGGGATCCTGGGGGCTGTCACAGGTCCTCGGAAGGGAGGCTCCCGCCGGAATGCCTGGGGAAACCAGTCGTATGCAGAGCTCATCAGCCAGGCCATTGAAAGTGCCCCGGAGAAGCGACTGACACTCGCCCAGATCTATGAGTGGATGGTCCGCACTGTGCCCTACTTCAAGGACAAGGGTGACAGCAACAGCTCAGCAGGATGGAAGGTAACTCTGATCCCCTTACCCCCCTCCCAATACCATCTGCCCCTGGGCCCCCTACCTCCTTACTGCTGTTCTGGGACCCCCTTTTACTCTCCTCACCCCAGAGATCCATCTTCAATAGTAAATTAGACAAACATTTACTTAGGACATAGTATATGCATGATCAGATGATTAATAAAACACTGTCTTTGCCCTGGAGAAAATTGAATTCTCTGCTCACTGTTCAACACTCCCAGCACAAGTGTTGGCTGGGGCTGCCCCAAATACTTATTTATTCCCACAGAGAAGTCTTTATCCTATGTACTGCAGGAGCTGTGTGGGTTCTCCACATAAACCTAACCTTCCCTCTGTCCCCACCTCCCACCTCAACACCTTTTCTCCCATTCCTGTGGGATTACTTGGATTCCCTGCTTGCCTCCCAGCACCTCAGTGTAGAGGTTCTTTTCTAGAACTCCTCTACCCAAGAAGACGGAGTGAAGTTGGCAAAAGGTAAAAAGGGTGGTATTCATGGGGTAAGGTAGCTGACCTTATCCACTAAGAAAAAAAGGACTGTGAACTGCTGCGTGTCTCAATTTACCTGATAATGCCAATAAATTCTTCCTAGTAAGGGGCTATCCAAGTTGGGTGGCGGGGGGGGGGGGGGGAACAGGGGGGGAGTTGATTCATGAAGAAAGAGAGAGAGAGAGAGAGCGAGCGCGCGAGCTGTGACTTTAGAGCACAAGATCAGCCATTCCTTTGGCTTTCCATGAAGAAATCTCGATAGATGCTCTGAAAACTTGTCTTGAGAAATACGGGGCTCTAATCACAAAATCGGGGAGCTTCAGCCCCTATTAATGTCTTGTACGCCCATACGTGGTAAAGTCAGCATACAAGGAAGTATAGAGGGTTGAAAGAAGAGACTCTTTCCTTAGGTATAAGAGACTGTGGGATCAGATCTGCAGTAGCTCTAAGGGTTCAGTAGGACAGAAATGGGACAGCTGACTGAGACCCTTGGCACTAGTTCTGGGTAGACTGCCACACCACAGCCTCAGCTCATAAAGAGCTCCCCTCCTTGGATCTAGCCTACACAGCTGTTTTTCTTTTCTCTTAGGTTCATTTTTCAGGGTAGAAGAAATAACCATGAGTTATTAGTTATGCCGTGGGAGTGTAGTCCATCCTTGTAATTTACACTTATACAGGGCTTTTAGTTTACAAAGTGGTTTTTAAAATTTTTTTATTTTATTAACCTTCACAGCAATTCTGAGATTCCACATTTCACATATTAGGAAACTAAGGTTTAGAAAGATTTGGAAATTCCCTAATATCAGTAGAATAAGGTCTTGAACTCAGATCTAACTCTAAATCATATGTTCTTGCTGCTAGTCCATGCTGCCAAATTCTCTTCATTGCAATGATGGCAAACCAAATCACACTGAGTCTGGGGCCTCAAGTCCCCAGTCCCCACCTCCAACCCTACGGACCTTAGGCCTGAACTGGCTTAACTGATGACTTGCCCAGGTTACTACCACCCCACCAGGGGGCGGCACCCACTTAGAACAAGAAAGCTTAGTGGAGGTGGCTTGGGGAGCAATTAGCAGTAACCCCCTTCCAACAGGTAAGAATAAAAGGCTCTTAGGGAGCTGACCTCTCTAGGTAGGTAAGTGGCTGTACAATGTGATGTACTAGTCCCAAGACCTAAAGAGGAGGGGATGAAGAACCGGGTCCTATATAGTAGGGAAAGGAAAGGGGCTTCTCAGTAAACCCAGAGTTAGAGGCTGAAATGAGGAGAAATCATGGCGCCACAAGTCACTCAGTTACTAAGAGCACAGCTTGGAGGACAAGTGTGTAGCCAGAGTAGTTGAAGTGGCATTACTCTAGGGTCTCAGAGAGACAAGAAGTTCTTTAGCTGGATAGCCCTGGAACAAGAAACTACTTAAGCATCTTTCTCGAGGCAAAGGGTCTCCTTATCTAGAGCAGTCTGAAACACACGAAGTGATTTCTCACTAGACTCAGCCTCCTAGTTGCTCCAAGCCCTTCTGGGCTTCTGAGTTTCTGAATACTGAAGAGCTTCATGTGGGAGGTCAAATCTCCCTAAGGTCTGAGATCTTAATACACACATTCCTGAGGAGAAGTTGGGGGAAAGAGGTAGGAAAGAGAAGGGAGCTTGGGGAAGCACAAAAGGATGGCTTACCAACCTGGGGCAACCAGTAGAAGTAAGGTGCTCTAGGGGCTCAGGAATCTGCCAATCTCCATTCCCTGGGCCCCTGAGGGGAAAAACACACAAAACTTATCTCTAGCGGAATATCAGCAGAGAGAGAGAGAAAGGGAGAACATGTAGCTTCTAATAACCAAGGCACTCAACAACCAACAGAGCTTTAAGGGGAGCTTTGCCATCACCTGGGGGCTACCCACTGATCAGGCAAGAAATGATTGATTCTGTACCAGGAGGCTGAGTATGTACTGGGAGCTTGGCAGGGAGGGGGAGGGGCACTACTGACGGGGTGCTGCCTGACTAGATGACATGATCTGTGTCCTGGGTGCTTACACTTTATGAGACTAATTCTGTGAAACTGTAAAGAACACAGTTGGTCAAAATGGTATGGAAGAGATTTAAACTACTCTGCAAGAAACTGGGCAGCAGAAGTCAAGCAGTCACTTTATAAAAGAGAGGAGACTTAGGCTTGGACTGGATGAACCAGTAGAATTTAGAGGGGAGCACTTTCCCAGGAGAAGGAGAGAGGAGTGTACCTTATGTATTTGAAGTACGGTGAGAAGCATGGCCCAGATATATGTGTCTCTGAATTGGGAGAAATCAGAAACAAGGAATCTTCAAATCCTCTGGAGAGCTGGGGCCCAAATGCCCCCGTGGGGAGTGGAGCGCCAGCTGTGCTGAGATTCCAGCCCCTTAGCCTGATGAGAGAACTGGCTCAGGACAGGGTGGGTCAGTCCTGGGCTGATGTTGCGCCACTATCCTGTAAACTCCACCCAAGCCTGCACTCAAGGAAAGGGGTGGAGCTGTGGAATGCTCTTTCCCATCTGAGCCTAGTTCTTGCTGAACCAGGAGTGTCTCTCCCTGGTTTCCTCCAGGCAGCCCCCTCCCCCCGCCAGAGACTTGAGAGGAGTTTAATGCTCTGAGCTTTTCTAGGGTGGGTGCCCTTCCCTCTGCAGTAGGTTGTTAATCAGCTTGTCTCTGGTGCCCCTGTGCAGAGAAGTCTGGAGCTGAGGCTGAGCAGCTTGTCTTCTGGGTGGGAACTGTGTGTGGTCTCCTCCCCAACCCCCACCCCTATCTTTGCCTGCTCTCCCCCTGTATTTGACTAGCTTTGAGTCTCCGTGTGCAGCTGTGTCCCAGCATCCTTTTAGACTGGACTGTGGGCCACTGACCTTCCCTACACACCACTCATACCCCTTTCCTGCTGCCTGTGTCCTCTCCAGAACTCGATCCGCCACAACCTGTCCCTGCACAGCAAGTTCATCAAGGTTCACAATGAGGCTACCGGCAAGAGCTCTTGGTGGATGCTGAACCCCGAGGGGGGCAAGAGCGGCAAGGCACCACGCCGCAGGGCAGCCTCCATGGATAGCAGCAGCAAGCTGCTCCGGGGCCGCAGCAAGGCACCCAAGAAGAAACCAGTTGTGTTGCCAGCTCCACCCGAAGGTGCCACTCCAAAGAGCCCTGTTGGCCACTTTGCCAAGTGGTCAGGCAGCCCTTGCCCTCGAAACCGCGAGGAAGCTGATGTGTGGACCACCTTCCGTCCACGAAGCAGTTCAAATGCCAGCACTGTCAGTACCCGGCTCTCTCCGCTGGGGCCGGAGTCTGAGGTGCTGGCTGGAGAGGAAATGCCAGCCTCGGTCAGCGGCTATGCAGGGGGTGTCCCTCCCACCCTGAAGGAAGATCTAGAGCTGTTAGATGGGCTCAATATAACATCTTCCCATTCCCTGCTATCTCGGAGTAGTCTCTCTGGCTTCTCTTTGCAGCATCCTGGGGTTACGGGCCCCTTACACGCATACAGCACCTCCCTCTTCAGCCCAGCAGAGGGGCCCCTGTCAGCAGGAGAAGGGTGCTTCTCAAGCTCCCAGTCTCTGGAGGCCCTGCTCACTTCTGATACACCACCACCCGCTGCCAGTGTTCTCATGACCCAGGTAGATCCCATTTTGTCACAGGCTCCCACGCTTCTGTTGTTGGGAGGCATACCTTCCTCCAGTAAGGTAGCCACGGGAATTGGCCTGTGTCCCAAGCCTCCAGAGGCTCCGGGCCCCAGCAGTCTGATTCCCCCTCTTCCGATGATAGCACCGCCTCCAGTCATGGTGGGTGCTCCCATCCCCAAGACCCTGGGGACTCCCATGCTTACACCCTCTACTGAAGCTACAAGCCAAGCCAGAATGCCTCAGGATCTCGATCTTGATATGTATCTGGAGAACCTGGAGTGTGACATGGATAACATCATCAGTGACCTCATGGATGGGGAAGAGGGACTGGACTTCAACTTCGAGCCAGGTACTGCTCCCAACCTACGCCTACTCCTAGGTGCCGAGTTACTTCCACAATCTGAGCAAGGGAGAGGGAGACTTAGCACAGGGGGTAGGTGGAATTGGAGGGAGGATGTTGTATTAGAGTGGCAGAATCTCTAGATGGGACTTCCAGGCTCCTCAGCAGCGCTCACCCCTACATAGCACAGGAGTGGTGGGAGATGGGCTGTCTCTGTTTACCTTGTTGTGGATCATGATGGTGGAATGTGCTCATGCCCCAGATGAGCCTCTTACCTTGTCTTTCATTTTTTCTTTCCACAGATCCCTGAGCCATTGCTGGAAGCTTTGTCCCCTGCTTCAGAGGTGGAGTTAGGGGTGCCCATATCCACTTTTTATCCTTGGCCCCACACCGGGAATTGGGAGCCCTGATTTGGAGCTAGGGTGGGGTCTACTCACAGAGGGGTTGAGGAAATTATAAAAATAAAGCTGCCCAATATGGGAACTATTGGGGGGAGGGAAAAGGAGGGTTTTTTTCTCACTGTGCCAATTAGGGGGTAAGGCACCTTCTTGGGAGCCATCCTTGGCTCCCCCTATTCCCACCCCCTGGGTTTTGTAGCAGGGGCGGGCTATGCTGTTGGAAATATGAAGTCACCAGTGGCCTTACCCCTGCCTTTGGGAGCAGGATTTTTTGTAGTGTCTTATCTGAGTTGGTCCAGGCTAGGTTGAGCCTGGGGTTTTTATGCAGTGGCCTCTTCGGCCTTTGGGGGGGGAGTAGTTAGGACCTGGGAGGGCCAGGTCTCAGCACTAGAGTGGCTCACCAGGCCAAATGACCCTTGGGGGGACTTCAGATAACAGAAAGGCTTTATATAAACTTTAAAGATCTATAAACACAAATATAGAGGGTTTTGTTTTTTTTTTTAACAGTGGCAAGGTGCTAGTGATGAAGAATGCTTTTTTTTTTTTCTTAAGGCTTTGTCATAGTGACATGTCGAAAACACTACAGACATTACTTGGGGAAACATGGGGAAGGGGTACACCAGCAGGAGAGCAGCAGTGGGAAGCAGTACTGAGCAAGGGGAATCACTCCCATGTAGACCAGGTCTAGAACATGGTCGGTGCAAAAATATCTCAGGCTTTCCCTAAGGAAAAAGCTAAGCCAGCTCCCCACCCCCACCCCACCCCACATTCTACCACCTTGTGCCTAGGAGTGTGTGGTGTTGGGATGCAGCCACACTCTCCGTGACCCACTGTGGGTTAGTGCTACAGTGGGAGAGTACATTGAAGGCCTGGAATTAGTTTGTGGCCTGGGAAGGGGGGCCGGAGGGGGAAGAGAAGGAGGGAAGGATTTAGGGTGGTAAAGTTAGGCACAGAGACCTCCCTGTTCAAGGCCCCTGACAGCTGTTGCTGCCCTTCTTTCCCTTGCCTGACTACAGGGGTTATGTGGAAGTGTGTGTGGTGGCAGGCAGGCAGGAGGGGTGGGACAGGGAAGGGGGAGCTGGGAAGCTTGGCTGAGGGTCTGGGAAATGAGCAGGGATGTAGGGGAATGTGGATCAGGTTTACCACCACCTGCCAGGGAGGCCATCTGGGGCTCCTCCACCCCAGCCCCCAAGCAGCCCCTCCCCCAGTCCCCTTTGCATTGTTCCCTCCCCCACCCCTGCTGTGGGTTCCCATCATTTCCTGTGTCAGCGCCTGGCTTACCCAGATTGTATCATGTGCTAGATTGGAGTGGGGAAGTGTGTCAAATCAATAAATGAATAAATTCAATAAATGACTATAACCAGCTCTGGTTTCTGCTGCCTGTTGCCCCCCTCAGACAAAGGAGAGGGAGAGGGGAAAGCAATGGTTTGGGGACTGTCCAGAAGCTGAGAGGTGGGGGTGGGGGAATTTCGGCTGGGGGAGAGGGGGGGTGAGGGAGGGGGGGGAGGGAAGTGGCCCATCAGCCACCTAACCCAAGCAGGCTGTGATAGGCGTCCTCTGGTAGTCCTGGCTGAAAAAGGTTCATTGACTAGACTTCAGAGTCTTTCCTCACCACCACCCAAGTACACACCCCAGCCTTCCTGCTCACCCTCAGAGCCTCCATGCTGCCTGGGGCATACTTAAGCCTCCCTGCAGGTACTGGGAGGAGTCTCTTAAAAAAGGAACCTCACATTAAACGCCAGTAATTTCATACCTAGTGTTTCTGCTCTCACATGGTCACTTTATTTTTTTAGTCTGCTGTTTTCCCTTCTTACTGAGTAAGCCTGCCTTGGTCTTTTGGGACGGACCCTTTCGAGGGAGCTTGCGACTCTTGTCATCACCTGATTTGGACTGGAAAGGAAAAGGGTCAGTTAGATAAAGAAGTTCAGTTCGGAAGGAAATCTTGTACAAACTAGGCCATGGGCAGGACAAAAGAGGTGGAGGGCAGGTCTTGGCCATGGATGTTGGATTTGGAAAGGAAAAATTTAGCCCTAACTGGTTTGGCTCAGTGGATAGAGCATTGGCCTGCAGACTGAAGGGTTCCAGGTTCAATCCCAGTCAAGGGCACATGCTGTGGGCTTGGTTCCCGGCGGGGGTGGGGGGGTGTAGGTGCAGGAGGCAGCCAATCAATGATTCTCTTTCATCTCCTCTCCTCTCCCTTTCTGAAATAAATATAAAAAAATTTTTTAAAAAGAAATTTATCCCAGAGGGCCATGGTGGAGAGCCTTGTTGGCTGGTGGGGATAGAGGGGTGCAGGGACAGAGCAGATTTGGGGAATCTTACTGGAAGGCTCACAGAAGAATCAATTTTAACGGCTTTCTTGGCTTCTTGGAGTCTAAGCATTTTCAGTCTGCTCTTCTCCAGCATGTCACATTGTGTGCGCAAGGCATCTAGAAACCAGGAAAAGGCACGCCTACTTCTGACTAGATACTTTACCTACCCATCCCATCCATCCCATCATTCAAATGATCATTTGGAGCAACCCAACCTAAAGTTAGTGTGAAGAGTGATCTGAAGGTGCCTAAGCTCTAAGAGAAAAGGATGAAGAGAAAGATAGAAATGAAGGGTGGTGATAGGGAGATATACTGAGGAGATGGCTGGGAAATGGGGAGAAGGGTGAATAGCACATGCACACTCCACCTGGTTTGAGCTAAGCATCCCTTCTAAAGTGGATCTAGATCCTATTCCCCTTTTCCTAGGATACTGTGATCATACTTGCTGCATGACACCAGTCCCACCCTATATTCTCCATCACCAGCTATGTGCAGTACTCTCTAAGTTCCTACTTTCTTCACATGCTTCTTACCAAGTAGTGTGTGATCTGGAGTCTTCAGGAGGGGCACAAAGGCTAGGTAGGCATTCGCAAGTTGAGTTCCTGTAAATACAGCAGTGTGCTATCCCCAGCCTCTGTTATCCAGTCTCCACCCTTCCAAAGCCCAAGATTGTAGGACCCTAACACTCAACACTATCTTGAGCTGGTTTACCTTATTTCCTCCTCTCAGACCCATCCCTAGGATAAGGTGGGGTCGGGGGGAGGTATGATATATGTGAACCTAACCTATTGTCACAGGCAATGACCGTCCTAGGCTGATTAGAGATAGTCAATTGGATCTGGATAAGGGCATCCTATTTTAAGGACAAGTTCTACAATCCATCCTGAGAGCCTTGTTCTATCTCTGGGGAATGCCCCCAAGCCTCTACCTGGTGTCCCACGTGCCACCTTACAAACGTAGTAGGTGCTTCGAGCTGTAAGGAATTTGCTGGCATAGTCTCCAGGGATCTTCATCAGGAAAAACAACTTCATTGTTCCCGTTTCATCACACAAATCAATGGTGTCTGGAGGGAGGCCAGAGGGGCAATTGGGGCAGCTCAGGAAGTAGAATAAGGGCAAAAGGGACCAATGATCCCATCCAAAATAGGTTGGAAGAAGCTGTAGGGATTCAAGGAGCTCTCTTCTTGCCAGAAGGAGACCTTGGAGGCCAGAAATGACCACTACTTTTAACCCTTGGCCGTTAGACCCCTTCCCAAACTCCTCACCTGTTTTATTCATCCCCACTTTACCGCGGGTGTAATGCAGCAACCGGTGGACAGCACAATTGATATTGGCAAGGAAATTCTGATTATCTAAGAAGAGATGGGATGGGGCGTGTGACCCTTCTCTGGTTATATGTCTCTGTGATCTCCACTGCCCTCAAACCTTCCCAGCCCTACATACAGATTCCAACTCCATGATGCCCCTCACCTCCATGTTTGATGTAGATGAACATACTCTCAAGAGCTCACTCTTCAGAGAGGCTTGATGAGTCATGAAGATGGAGGGTGTTCTGGAGGCCTTGGGGGATCCATAGGGACAGGAGACAGAAGATAGGGGATAGGGGGCTAGAGAGGCAGATAGATTACATTGCCTGAGGAAGCCCAGAACAGGCAGACAGGAGAGAGCTAGCTATTGGTAGTTGTGGATAACCACCATCGCTAGGGGTGGGGCCTGAAGGGTGGGGCTTGAGGCTGCAGTTGAGGGATTATGAGGTCATAAGTGGTATGTATGACAGAAGGTGGAGTAAGGATAAGGGGAGAAGAACCTGGGTGAAGTCTGTAGATTTGTTGGGAATGGAGGCAACATGGTGAATCTAACTAAACTGGACCTCAGAAGGATACCTTAGAGAAAAATTAAGTTTCTGGAAAAGTACTTTTTCTAGTTAATTTGTGGTACAACTGCTTCCACAGCAGGATTCTACTCATTTTCCCTACCACCAGCACTATGCCCCCCATCCTTACTATACCTCACATTTCCCCTGCTCCCTGCCCAAACAACACAGTCATGATGATTATCAACAGAAACTTTATTTATCATTGATTTGGGAACAACTGAAAGGTAGATGGAAAGAAGAAGGTTGGGAGGGAGGGAGAAAGAATTCTAGGAAGAGGAATTTTGGATCGAGGGAGATGGCAAACATGTACAGGGCAAATGGGCAATTCCTTTTTAAATATATTTTTAATAGATTTCAGAGAGAATGGGAAAGAGGGATAAAAACATCAATATTGAGAAAGAATAATTGATCGGCTGCCTCCTGCATGCCCCCTACTGGGGATCCAGCCTACAATCTGTGCTTGTGCTCTGACCAGAATCAAACTTTGATCTCCTGGGTCGAAGCTCAACCACTGAGCCACACTGGTTGGGCAATGGGACAATTCTTAAAGAGGAGATATTAAATGAGGGGGCAGTTGTAGGGGCACACAATTCAAAATCAGCCACAGTTGGGGTAGGGGGAGCATTGGGCCTAGGCTGGTTGGATGAGGGGAAGTTAGTACAATTTAGGGCTACAGGACCCTGGGGTTCTGCCAGGGTATCAGGGCTCAGGGCTCAGGTTTCAGGGTGTAACATGGTGGATCCCAGAAGGGACTATGGTGGCTGTAGGGGGAGCCTCCAGGCCCCTCCCCTAGAGCAACGCCTTTTGGGGGAATCTCACTGACGTGGCAGAGCCTTTCGCTGTAGTCTGGCTGCAGGCTCTCCGCCAGTCCCTTAGACACACCACTCCAGGCCTAAAGACAGATATCTCCAGGTCAGGGGTCAATTAGGAGCAGGAAGTAAAAGACCCAAGCTCTGTGCCAAGGGAACTCTCACTTCTGTACCACTATGATTAAGGAAAGGACACACAGACTCCTGGGCTCCCAATATCACTGTTTCCATATGCCTCAACCAATCTGTAATCAGTTTTCTTCTGTGTGTCTCTCTCCATCTGCCCCATCCCCCAATTGGTTGGCCACATCCTGACAGTTAGTACAAGGCCTCCTTTCCTCCCCTCTGCCCTCCATACTTTGTCTTGCTGCAGGAAGTGGGCAGTTGACAGACTGCAGTCTGCCTATGACCATGTTCTCACCGAAAAGTTCCCGTGGTATTCTGTAACCAGATCCTCCAGGCTCTTGAGGGTAGGAATTCGGGGCATGGTCCTGGGGTAGGGGGAGAAAGAGGGAGCAGGAACACATTGGTGATGCCCTTTTATTGCCCTTTGCTCCCAATTCTGCCATACAGAATAGAGAGATTCTCTGTTCTCTGTGACTGCAGCTTTGTTCCATCTCTATGCCCGCTTGGGTGACCCCTCATTCCTTATTGTCCTGCCTTCTTCTTCTATAGACCTTGTAATAAGCCTCTTCTACTATTCCCAGCCACCCCCACCTCTTTTTTTTCTGGGATTCCAGAAGTCTCACCGTTCCAGCCAGCAGTACACACAGATGAGGCTAATAATCAATCCCATGGAACCAAGGGGGATGAGCACGGCTTCCAGTGCAAACAATGACGGGGTCTCTATGGATTCTATGGAGAAGAGGAGAGGAAAAGAGCCCTAATACTTGTCACGCCCCTACAACAAGACAGCATTGATGGAGCCCCAACTAGGTGCCAGTGCTAGACACTTTCAGTATAATTAATCCTCACAACTTCTGAGAGAAGGGACCAATTAGTATCTCCATTTTATAGACAAGGAAAAGCAATCAAAGAGGTTAGTGATGTGCCCAAGATCAAAGAGGCAGTAAGTGGCAGAGGCAGGTTTAAACCCAAGATTTGGCTGGTTCCAAAGCCATCTTCACTATGCAGCCTTCCTGGCAATGCTGTAGAGATAGTTTATACATCCTATCTCCCCTTGAGCACTCCTTGGCCTTCTTCTCACTCCATCCCTCTAGTCTAGTGTCCGGCAAACTCATTAGGGAACAGAGCCAAATATCAACAGTACAATGATTGAAATTTCTTTTGCGAGCCGAAAGCCGACTTCTGCACATGGGCCACGAAGTTTCAATCGCACTGTATGTGTGCTCCCACATGTGGTATTTTGTGAAAGAGCCACACTCAAGGGCCAAAGAGCCGCATGTGGCTCGCGAGCCGCAGTTTGCCAACCACTGCTCTAGTCTAACAGCACATCGACCCAACCCTACACAGAAAAACCCTGCTTCCTGGGGGTTGGAGTTGAACAGTGAGGGGAGATGGGCCACCAAATTTGGGAGCTTACAGATAGGGAGGTAGAACAAAAGACAGTGGTGCTAGGAAGGTTAGGATGCTGGACTCATGGGTCAGGGTGAGGCATTAGGTCCATTTTACCCTTTGAAATATGGCTGCCCCAGTGGATCAGGTGGCTCCATTCACTCCAATGCTGAGCACTGCCACAGAGTGGGTTATGGCGACTCCGAACACGAAACGTGTAGAGTTTCTGCCCATCCACACTAGGCAAGGAGAAACTACGTCTTTGGTCTACTGATTGTTCCTTGGGGAGAAAGAGGGTGAGAGTAAGATGGGTGTCTATAAAAGAAGGGAACATTAAAACTGCTACCCTCTCCCAGCTGGTGTTGCTCAGTGGTTAAGTGTCAACCTATGAACCAAGAGGTCATGGGTTCGATTCCTGGTCATGGCACATGCTCTGGTTGCAGGCTCAAACTCCAGTAGGGAGCATGCAAGAGGCAGCCGATTGATGTTTCTATCTCTCTATCCCTCTCCCTTCCTCTCTCTACAAAAAAAATACAAAAAAACAATAAAAACATTTTTTAAAACTGCTGCCTCTCCCCCACTGTCATCTTCTGGTTCTTCCCAGTCCCTCCCTCCTCTCTTGACTATTCAAGCTACATTGCCCCCTTGACTGACTATAATCTAATGCCTCTCTCCACATCCCCTTAAAGACTTCCTTTGGTTTACTTGTCTGTCTGGTACTGGGAATAGTACAGGTAGGGAAATCCTAATGACAACTCATTGGTGAAAATAGATAGGGAAAGGATTTGGAGGAAGGCAGAGGGTGGTCAGAGGCACCGGAAAGCAAGAACAGGAGATCAAGCCCTCCTGTTTGGTTGAGTCTATCCCCACTTGCTTGGTCTTAGCTGCTACGTTCATATCCCTAGTCACTCACAGTCCAGCTGTGGTCCCGGTCACTCCTGTACTGCACCAGGTGCTCCAAACAGTGGTCCAAGTATGTGTTGCTCCACCTCAGTTCTATCTGGGATTCACTCAGGTTGTGAAGTGTTAGGTTCTTCGGAGCCCAGGGAATCACTGGAGATATGTGTGTGAGTGTGGTCATTCTCCTGGCCTAGACAAGTCAGGATCCTGATCCCTCCTCCATTCCCCATCCCAAACCCTCACCGCTTCCTTTCTTAGCAGGTATCTTTATGGTGAAAGAACACCATAAAGAACACTGCTCCATATACCCCTTTGCCCCACAATATCCCTGGACTCTTGAGCCATTTCCAAATTACCCAAATCCTGCAGTCTTAGCTCCTTTTTGGTCTTCCTCCTAGGTTCCTGTGGGTCCTGGAGCTGGACAAAGAATGCTTGGTAGAGATTGATTTCCTCTTTCCCCAACCAACAGCCAGAAGTGATCTCTGAAGTGTATAGATAGTGGCCACACTCCTGGATATTGTGACCAGAGTTCTTATACCTAGAGAAGGGTTGGAAGGAAGAGGAATGGTGGGGTAAACTTGGGTACTACAGACATCCACAGCCCAGCCTCCTCCCTGAACTGACTTATGATTTACCCCATGGGAAAACAGTGGGGAGCCTGGAATGCTGGCCACCCTCTTTTTGGTTCCCATACAGTCTCTCACATCTAGCCCACCTCCTCTTCCTCCCTTATGCTATCCCCTCTTTCTTTCTCATACCAATAGTGCAGAGTCAGGTTGGTGGGCTGAGGCTCAGAGCTGCTGTTCCAAGTGCAATTTATATACTCGACATTGAATACAAAACACTGAACCTCTAGGTTAGAGAGAAAATGAAGTGGGAGAGGGGAAGAGAAGAAATGATCATCAGAAGAAACACCGTGAGGCAGGGAACCCTTTCCCTTCCCCTCCCTCTCCTCCCCACAGTGCTCTTAAATTCTGCCTGCATCCTTGTTATGTTCAGTGGCAGGTTCCAGATTTCTGTATGGCCCCTTCCCACAGCCTCCGATCTCACCAACCCCTTCCAGTCCCAGGTTTCCCACCAGCTGTGATGTCTTCATTCCCAGTGGGCGTGAGGATTGTTGGGTTCAGTCCCATCCCCAACAGAGGCAGCTGCAGGAATAAGAGGAATCTGGGTGGCAATGGTCGCTTCAACATGGCACTCTTGCTCTTCGTCCCTTGGGTGTACTGTGTCAGGAACCTGGGCCCCTCACCCACTACCCCTCCCCACCCATACATTTCCTTTTGTCATAGCTTCCGGTGGAAAGAACCTTAGAAACCAGGGCTTTACAGAGGGTGTGGCAAAAGTGTGCTGTGACACAGGCTAAATCTTCTGGGAGATTTGGTGTTGATCTAATCTGTAGGTGTAACACCATCCGGCTGTGAAGTGGTGTTAAGTGGGCTGAGTTTACAGTATTGTCACAAACTCAAGAATCCTTAGACCACCTAGATACTGATAAGGATCTTATTTCCACCACCACTACCATTCCCAACTGCCTTCTCATTGAAATAATTTTATCCTAGATGGTAGAGGGTCTGAATCTCTTTCCCACCCTACGCCATGCTCCTTCTTTGGCTCAGCCACCCTGAATCCACTGTCAAAGCTCTACTGTCTTGGCTGGATGGAAAATACAGTCTTGACTCCTGTGGGCACATACCGTGTTTGCCCGAAAATAAGACCTACTTACAGGTTTCCTTCTGAGTGAAATATAAGGTATCTCCCTGAAAATAAGGCCCCCACTAGGCTAAACATGAGAGATTTGGTCCACTGATTCTGAAAGAAATGGAGTCACAAGAAATTCACCAGGAAATTCAGGAATTGGATTGTTATGATGATGTTCCAGAAGATGATGACACGATTGTCATTGAATAAATGAGTAAATTCTTGATTCTGTAGGATTCACAGTTTGTCTGGTTTGTGTTGACAACTACCGTACTACCGTACCGTATACAGGTAATAAATTTCCTTTACTTTCATTTACCAATAAATGTGTACTGTATTCTTCTTCATGGAAAAATAAGACATCCCCTGAAAATAAGACCTAGCGTATCTTTGGGAGCAAAAATTAATATTAGACACTGTCTTATTTTCAGGGAAACAGCGTATGTAACTGTCTTTCCTCTGATCTAATCCAAACCAGAATATTAATCCTTAGCTACTGACTGAGCTGGGTCCCTGTTGAGACTGGTGAGGTGGTCTGACTTAGAAGTAGATTCTGGAAATGGAGGAACAATACTAGCTTCAAACTCCTCATCTTCCCCTTAATCTCTTTCCCTTTCTGTGTTCCCTATCGCAATTAATGGTATCATCACCCTTGCAGTCACGCAGACTTGAAATCCCAAAGTCATCTCCAATTCCTCCCTCTCTCTTACTCTGAAAATCCAATCAACTCTACCTTCTGTGATGTTTCTCCCAGCAGTCCTTTTCATGAGCACAACCACTGTGCTAAATCAGCCTTTCATTCCCTCTAGTCATGATTCTTACTAGGATCCACCAACTGGCCTCCCTTTCTTTCTTTTCTTTTCTTTTTTTTTTTTTTTTTTTTTTTTTAAATATATATTTTATTGATTTCTTACAGAGAGGAAGAGAGAGGGACAGAGAGTTAGAAACATCGATGAGAGAGAATCATCGACCAGCTGCCTCTTGCACATCCCCCACTGGGGATGTGCCCGCAACCAAGGTACATGCCCTTGCCCGGAATCAAACCCGGGACCTTTCAGTCCACAGGCCGACGCTCTATCTACTGAGCCAAACCGGTTTCGACTGGCCTCCCTTTCTGAAGGCCCCCTGCTCTCTGCCCTGGCTGGGTAGCTCAGTTGGTTAGAGCATTGTCCTGATATACCAAGGTTTTGGGTTCGGTCCCCATCATCCCATTGCCAGACTAAACACAGAACTGATCAGAGAGACTATCTACAAAAATTGTTCATTCAGCAAACATTTATTGAGCTCTTAATATATGCCAGGCATGCCGAAACTGGTTTGGCTCAGTGGAGAGAGCATTGGCCTGCGGACTAAAAGATCCCAGGTTCGATTCCGTTCAAGGGCACGTACCTCGGTTGCGGGCACATCCCCAGTGGGAGGTGTGCAGGAGGCAGCTGATCTATGTTTCTCTCTCATCGATGTTTCTAACTCTCTATCCCTCTCATCTATAAAAAAAAAAAAGTATATATGCCAGGCACTGTGCTTATGTTCTAACCCACCCTAATTTTCTGTATTAAAATTTCTCAGGGTTAGCTTAAATATGACCTCCTCCAAGCAGAATATTTCCTCTCCCCAACCAGAATTAGTTTGTCTCACCCTAGCCAGTTTTGCTCAGTGGACAGAGCATCGGCCTGCAGACTGAAGGGCTCCTGGTTCCATTCTGGTCAAGGACATGTATCTTGGTTGAAGGCTCCTCCTGGGCTCGAGCCCTGGTGGGGGTTCCTGCAGGAGGCAACCAATGTGTTTCTCTCACATCGATGTTTCTCTGTCTTCCACTCTCCCTAAAAATCAGTGGAAGAAATATCCTCGGTGGAGGAGATAAGAGATCAACCAAAGGACTTGTATACATGCATATAAGTACAACCAATGAACACAAAACTCTGGGGAGGGAGGGTATGTATGGGGGGGGCAATGTTAAAATATGTACACATAATAATTTAATAATAATAATAATAATAATAATAATATATAGAAATATCCTTGGGTGAGGATTTAAAAAAAATTAGCAGAGACCGGTTTGGCTCAGTGGATAGAGCGTCGGCCTGTGGACTGAAGGGTCCCGGGTTCGATTCCGGTCAAGGGCATGTGCCTTGGTTGCAGGGATATTCCCCAGTGGGGGGGGGGGTAGGAGGCAGCTGATCGATGTTTCTCTCTCATCGATGTTTTTTTAACTCTCTATCCCTCTCTCTTCCTCTCTGTAAGAAATCTATAAAATATATATATTTTTAAATTAGTTTGTCTCCCCACTATGATTCAATAGCATTTTATTATTTTCACTTGTTATATGCCAGTTTTATTTTTATGTATTGTAATTTGTTGCTTTTATTATAGTACTTTTCTCTAAAAGGCAATACCACCACCAAAGAAAGAATATTGGCTCAAGTCGAGAAAAAAATCCTAGTCTCAGCTATTACTCAGTAGCTGTATGATATAGGACATGTGAACTTCCACTCTGAATATCAGCCTCATCCACAAAATGAAGACAGCAATCCCTAACTTGTGTGGCTGTGTACGGATTAAAGGAGACAATATCTAAAAAACATCTGACTTTTAGTAGGTGCCTCTTTCGCTAGAGCAGGGGTTATTAACCTGAAATTCATGGACACTTAGGGGATGCTTCCTTGAGCTTCAAGGGGTGCAGGAATCTTCCTGGAAAGTAACTAACGTTTTGTATGTCTCCATGTTCATTTCACTGGGATAAGGGCCACAGCTTCCGTCAACATCAAAGGGTTTGTGAGTCCAAAAGGCTAATCATCTCAGTGCTAGACCATAAAGACTTTAAGGGATTAGAACCGGCCTTTCAGGGGTTTAATGGGTGCTTTTTCAGCACACATAGGTCCTTTGAAGGCGATTAGTACACCCATTTTTCTGACGCGGAAACCAACAGTAATTTGTAAAAGGCACAGAATCTAACCTACGTAAATAGAACACCCATTGTAGGCCCCAAACGGAGCGAGGCGCCCGGAAGCCAGCGCCCGACAGAGCCCAGCCGCGGCAGCTCCCCTTCTCACGGGTTCGCCTCCCGCCCCGAGTTCAGCTCCGGGACCTCCCGCGGCCGCCGCCCCCGGGCCCGCTCCCAGGCCGGGGCTCCCGGAGCGGAGCTCCGCCCCGGCCGGCCCGGCCCCGCCCCGCCGAGGTCGGCATTGTCCGACGCTTTCCGGTGTCCCTCGGTTTCCCTCGGTAGTTTCCGGCAATGATCGAGAGTTTCTAACCTGCCCCCCGTTGTCTCTCGGCCGCCGTCCTCGCCACCGCGGCCCCCCTGCGGCTCCCCCCCCGCCCCCCGCCCCGGAGCCGGCCCGGCTGGCGCCGCCGGCGCTCCGGGCTGGGCAAGATGGCGGCCTTCGGGATCTTGAGCTACGAACACCGGCCCCTGAAGCGGCCGCGGCTGGGGCCTCCCGATGTGTACCCTCAAGATCCCAAACAGAAGGAGGTGCGCGTTCACAGAGCGGGGCTCTCGCGGGGCCGGGGGCCGGCGCTCAGCACTGGAGGAAGCGCCTAGGCTTTGGGAAAGGGGGGGACGGGGCGGTCTGGTGGGAGCCAAACTCCCGGAAGGGGGAAGAGTAAAGTGGGTGCGGGAGAGTGGGACCTGGAGGGCAGGGGGGCGGTTCCTGAGCGCGACTAGGGGACGGTGGAGGGTGGAGGGGCCACGCTCGAGGCGGTCCCCCCTCCACACCCCTCAGAAAGTTGTCGGAGGCAGCTTGGTGAGCGATGGCTGCTAGCCGGCTTGTGAGGAAAGAGTGATGTTGAGTGAAATCTGGGTGTGTGGGGCGGGTGAGGGTGGGGTCCAAATGAACATCAGGGCCTATCTCTAAACAGCAATCTGTGCTACTTAGAGTCCTCCTCCTGCCTTGTCGTCCCCCTTTCCCCCTCTTTTTCTGCCCTCCACTCCCCCCCACCCCCCCAAGGGAAAATACTAAAATGCCATTTTCCTGTCTCAGGATGAACTGACGGCCTTGAATGTAAAACAAGGTTTCAATAACCAGCCTGCTGTCTCTGGGGATGAACATGGCAGTGCCAAGAATGTAAACTTCAATCCTTCCAAGGTGAGAAAATCCTGCCAGGCTGAAGGAAAAGGCTGGAAGAATCTGAGAAGGAGCAAAGGCCGTGGGTTGGGAAGACCTAAAGGGACGACCTTAAGTGGCCAAGTTTTCCTTCATAACCTAATGCTACCACATTGGCATTTGCCCATCAAAGGCACCTGCACCTCTCCATCCTTTCTTTCCACCCTGAGGTATAGTTTTCTTTCCTCAGATCAGTTCCAACTTCAGCAGCATTATTGCAGAGAAGTTGCGTTGTAACACCCTCCCTGACACTGGTCGCAGGAAGCCCCAAGTGAACCAGAAGGACAGCTTCTGGCTGGTGACTCCAAGATCCCAGAGTGCCATTAACACCTGGTTCACTGACCTGGCTGGCACCAAGCCACTCACACAACTAGCCAAGAAGGTGAGATACTGTT